TCTAACTAGGATAGTACTTAAATCTTTACACTATAAGCGTTTATAACTAGATATTAAAGTGTATCTAGTTCTAAATAGCCTAATTAAAGGTACTAAGTTATTATATTATCTAATCTATCTCCTCTAGTATTATAAAATAGCCTCTAACGTTATAATACTTATTTTAAAAAGGAAAATACTCTAGCTATACTATATAGAATAGGAAAGTAGGAAGACTAAATAATATATTAAAGGAAGACTAAATTAAATTTCTAAATAAGTCTATAAACTATTTTACTCTTTTTAAGCAGTCTAGTTTATAATATATAATTAAGTCTATAGTACTAAACTCCTACCTTTCTTAAATATACTTTTAAGATAATATTAATATAAAAATTCTTAATATAATAGACTCTATAGAGTATAAGATTATATAGTCTATTAGGTTCTAATAGGATTCCTTTAATAGTATACTTCTCTTTCTTTATAATAGAAAATAAGGTTAATCCTACTTTAACTGTTTTATCTAGGTTAGCTTCCTCTATAGAACTAAAGTTTAAAAGAGATAAGTTATTAACTAGATAAGTAGCTCTATAGTTATTAAATATAGTACTTTTAAAAAGAATATATAAACTGTTAAAGCTATAAGTAAAAATACTATATAAAGTAGGATTAATATCAGTTTCCTTAAGGAGCTTAAAATTAATTACTATACAGTTAATAGAGTTTAATAATAAACTAAGGTTTCCTTATTTAGTATCTTTTAAGGTAGTATCCTTCTCCTTTAAGGTTATATCTTTCTCCTTCCTTAATAGTAGTTACTTCTTTTTCTTATTTAAAGGCTCTATCTATCCCTTATTAATTAGCTAATATAATACCTACTTCTATTTATCCTTTTTTATATATTTAAGGATTTTAGCTAACTTTTTTAAGGTTTATTTAAGGTTTTAGTTATAGGAAAAGCCTCTTACTATAAATTTAATATAAAGGCAGTTAGGTAGTATATATATTATAAGAACCCTATATAGGTAATCCCTTATTTTTAATATTTAATTATTATCTAACTGTTTTAAAAGTGTTATATAGACCCTTAAGACCTTAGTTTTACCTTTTAATACAGTTTCCTCTTAGTAAAGTGTAATAAAGGTTACTCTATATACACTAAGAGAGTATACTACTTCTCTATTTATTTCCTATTTAATAAAGCAGTTTAAAGTATCTCTTCCTTAAGTAGGTAAAAGTTATTATAAAATAGCCTTAAGAAACGTTTTTATAGTTAAATTACCTTAAACTTCTAATATCTTATATTATTTTACTTAGAGGTAATATTTTAACTAGTTAGTATACTATAAAGATAGATTTATACTAGTATTTGCTTAAGTAAGAATAGAGAGGTATTCTTTTTAAACTGTAGTAAGAGTTATAATATTATTTAGAGTATATATTTACTTAAGAATATAGATAAGTGCTTTTAATAATATATCCTTCTCCTTTTATAGCTAAGTTAAATCCTTTATTATTCCTTTATTAAGAAGTTCTATTTATATAGGAGTAAGAAATATATTATTAACTATAATTCTTACTTAGGATTTAATTACTTTATTGATGAATATAATTGCTCTAAACCCCTATAAGCGGTCTAGTGCAGTTCACCTAGTAAATGTAATTACAGTATGTAAAACCTAATATGCGGCACCTCTGGCCTGTACCGTATCTTAATATCTTAATGCAGTAAATGATACCTAATAACGTAGGGTAACTGCTGAATCCAACTTTACTTTAACTATGGTCTGGAGCGAACGACCTTTGGGCGCCGGAATGTTGGCGATAACCTTGGCGGTAACGATGGTACTGTTGAATCTACTATTAAGGTTGTGATGGCTTCGCGATGGGGTGACCAACTTGTAAGCCACGCGATGACTCTGAACTCTGCCACTAAGGTCGTCGTCGAAAACCTTGCGCCGTGAGTTATAGATAGTACTGGAGATAGCTTTGCTTGCTAGCGACCTTGCTGGCTGTGGCTAGATATATAAAAAGGCGGAAGCTGTCTCTGGGCTTGTCCTCCTTCCATCCTATCTATCTTTGACACATACATAACACTCCTCCTCTTTGTTTCCATCTATCGCTCACTATGTATATTACTAGTCTAAACCTATGGGGCCTTCCCTAGGCCGAGGGCCACTCTGCCCCTTGGGCAGCCTATTGGGACTTCGTCCGAACCGGCCCTGAGGCTGTAAAGCTTGGCTTCTGGGCCATTATTAATAGAGAGTTCGACTCTCTGTCCCTTACTGAGAGGGTGACTGTTGGAACCTTTGGCCTAGAGCTTCTGGCTAAAGACTAGCCTAGTGATGACGTATGGCGTTAGATCTTAGGCTTTAAGGACCAGCCGGAGTTTATTAACCGGCTGAGAAGTCCTTGCCTAGAGGACCTCCCTTATTATGACGATGTCATAAAAGCGGCAGCGGAGGCTATTGAGGCCTATGACCAGTTGAAAAGGGGACTGGCGAAATCCTCGCGCGGCCCTTGGTGATAGGTGAGTTTGGCTGTGATGCTGTAATGCTTGGGGTATTTGCTGACGGCGGCAGTGGGACGTCGGATCCGTCGGATTGGGACGGCGCGGGGGTCGGCGGCGGTACGTGAGACCGGGGGAGGGAGTTCCTACTGACTTGGAGGACGGCGTTCTGGATGGCGGGGAAAAGGGCTCGAATTGGCGGCGTTTCTTGGCGGAGTGATTTATCTAGTGTTAGGCGTTCGGGGAGGGGGAAGTCAAAAGGCCCCAAAAGTGCAATATCAAACCTTGTTTCGGAACTTGAAAGTCACGTGCCTATTGACTGCTGATGTGACGAGGTCATTAACCTAACGTTGCCTAAGCGTTGAAGTCGTGTAATGGAGGTGCTGTTCGCTGGCAAATTGGCTGGCTGGTCGAAGTGGAAGTTGTTTTCGGCTGAAGTCGTATAATCGCGCGGTAAATGGCTATAAGCCCTTAATTACTTTATAAGCTTATATTTATTTAGTAATTTCTAAAGTATTATTATTTATACTAACTTCTATTTTATAAAGCGCTATTATATTAAGAGTTATAATTAAAATAGCTTCTACTTAAACTAGGTCCTAGTTATAATCCTTTAGCTATTCTTTAAACAGTTTAACAGTTAGTTTCTAATTAATTTTTAAGTTAGACTTATTATCTAAATTAATATACTTCTAGATTCCTTTACTATAGGTATAGTACTTTAAAGTAATATACTATTTAAACTAATTCCGTTTTAAAGTAAGCTTTATAGACTTATTAATATCTATTATATTATTATTTTTAACTAGTATAATTACTAATAGTAAAAGAATAAATTAGAATACAGTTTAAAAAAGACTTATAAGAGTAAGAAAGAGGTAGTAGATTACTAGATCTATTATAATATCTAGGGGCTTATTTATATAAAGAGCTAGGCTTATAACTGTAATAAACTGTAGCGTCTACTAAGTATAGTATAAAGTAGTTATCCTATCTAAAATATAGATCCCAACTAGAAAGCGGTTAAAATACCTATATAGACTGGTCTATACGTCTAGTAAGCCATATCTATAGTAGGTTACAACTGATACTAGCCACACGAAGCTATTCCAGCTTCACGACAACCTAGGATTACTGCAGTGTGTTCCGTACCTCATGATTTACAGGCCGCGAGTCATCCGTTGGGTTGCCAGAGTATTTGGCAGACTTTGAAGTCGCGCGGGGATACCTCCACTTTTGCTACTTTGGTGGGATCATAAATTCATACTAGTGGTGCCTGTTAAGCTTTTTACAAAGCAATGGTTTATGACTCTCTAACCCTGCTTTTTGAAACTGCTACGTAATTATCTAATTTAATTGCATAGGCCTCAATCATTTCAATCAACCTGCATGAGATCAAGTTCCCTAGCCGTACGTCATGTGATTTACGTCTTGGCTATAGATAGTGTTTATGAAATCACATAAATAAGATAAATTCCCGCACGGTATTCTAAGCTGAGGCCATTTATTATCACATGAAATATCCATCACCAAACTAGGTAACTCATTGAACCTTTGATTCCGTTACTGGCTTGAGTCGACTACCACAATCCAATCCACCTTTTCCAATACTTCGAAATGAGGCTTTTGACCCTTTTCACGCTTATCGCAGCTGCTGCTGCCACACCATTCCCAGTGGGCCAAGACATGGCAGGTGACTCTCCGAGCCTTAGCAAACGTGCCTGCGGTACATGCTATCAGAACGTCAACGTCTGCTGTGATTCCAGTGGATGCACGAAGGTTGCCTGCTAAGCGACTGTGGTTCTGATGACAGGTATATACCCCTTTACCATCTGGTATATGCTTCTTTCTCACTCAAAAAATCAGTAACTTCAACCCCTGCGGGTTGCGACTACGCATAGTGCCAAAGGCCCTCCGGAGGGGACTAATGTTGCACTGCCATTATTATTTTAGAATCGTCTATCTCCAGGTCAATGGAATTATCAAACTGCCATAAGACCAGCGTGCTGAGTATAATCCGTGACTGCTCTCCGGGGTCGTATAGTGAACGGCGTCGCTGCCTTGTATTGCACATACTACTACTACTACCTGGCGTTGCGACCGTGCAGCTGGCTTGCTTCTAGATCTCTGCCCGAGTCGGCCGCCTCCGTCCGCGATGCATCGACAAGACTTGCCTGACCGCAACTATAACTACCAGGTACCGCAGCTGGACCTCTCGTAGACATGCATCAATCTACCCGTCAATGTCAAAGCCTTTCATTTGGTTTTGGGAAGACTGATAACCCTTCTAGGAAGACAACCAGGAGCGCAGCGTTGGAAAGACGGTGCTATAAATAAATAGGTAGGAAACCGACAGAACTGGATAAATGCGATAAGTTCGTGCTTATAACAGCTTCGTCGTTTAATGATGTGCTCGTCTTCTCCACACTCCCCATACAGCTTCTCCGCCGGCTTGCTCTTTTTCACCAATGGGACGATTTGCAAAACAAATATTAAAAGCTAAAATTAGTGATTTCGTCCAGGCTCGAACTGGAGACCTTCAGTGGACCAGACGAGAAGCGAAGCTCTCGAGATGTTAGACTGACGTGATAACCAACTACACCACGAAACCATTTGATGGTTGGGTCCGAGCTGAAAAAGCATAAGACTAGACGGCACAGGAAACCGAATGTCACGAGCAGTCCCAAGCTCTAATTGCAGGTCTGATTCGCGCTCTTGAATTGATCTGTATCAAGCTGCACGAGACTCGGCCGCCCATCTCAAATCCCGCGTCCTTTCGCAGCTTCACATGTCAAACGTCTCCCTCATAATGCGCATCGTATCCTGAGGACCCGTGACGGAATGGCCTATGGTGCGCTCATCGACGTAGATTTCGTAATCGTTCCCCCCTTTCGCCGTCTTGTCGCCGAAGAAGTGGATCTCGTCAAACCTGACGCCGCCGTTCTTTGCCTCGTTCTCGAGGTGCCGCAGACAGTAGGTCTTGTCCCAGCCGGTCGGGAAGACGTCGAAGGATATCTGCCCCCCCACGGCGAACTCCAGACCGAGATCGCCGAACCGTTCGCGCAGCTTAGCAATAAAGTCCCGCCGCACGCCGTGGACCCTGTCGTACTCCTCGAATGCCACGCGCTCGGCGGCGGAGGCGTTACGGCCGACAGGCGAGATGTTCACCATGCCGTTACGGAACTCGATAAAAGTGCCCCGCTTGACAGGGATGTCGAGGTCAGCAATATGGTGGAGGGAAAAGTTGACAAGCTCTTTGTATCGCTCCTCCCCAAGGTACCTAATGAAGCTGCTAGAGGGGAGGGGCTCGCCGAGCTTAAAAGCTGTTAGGCCGTTCTCGGAGAAGCAGAAGTCAAATAGTGCTGTGACAGGGGTTGAGGCGTTCCCAAGCTGCTCCTGCTGCTTGGAGTAGTCAGAGCCGCCGACGAAGCCGATGGCACACTTTTGACGCAGACGGGCGAGGAGCTCGAGCATCTCCGCAGAGGCGGCCTGGGGTAGGCAGCATGGTTAGCCCGAGGCGGGATGTCCGACAGAAGGTCCTTGGGGGATTTATGCCACGACAGGGCTTAGACAGATCACATCAGTGCAGGAAGACAGCCCCGTGTGACTTACGAGACGAGGGGGGCAGAGGGTGTCGTCAACGTCAAAAAGACAGATCGTGTTCTTCAAGGGCCGCTCGTGGAGCGGCGGGTATTCGGGGATAGAGGTAGCCATTCCGACAGCTGTCCAGGGGCCACAAATACGTTCCAGAGAGAACCAGAGTAGAAGATGGCGGATTAAGGAGCTTCAAATGGCAGGTCTCAAGGCATTCGTGTTTCATATAATAATGATGAGGCCGGACAAGCAACAACCTCCTGTATCCCGGATTACGTGGAAGCAATACGTGTTGCGTGCACGGGCCTAGACTATCAGGATTGGATGACTGCAGCTGATTTCTTATATATATATATCTACTGCACAGTTATGCACGTGACCCAGTCCATGTACTGTTGGATGCGTTGCGGTGGTACACACCCTGGTTAGGGTCACGCAAGGGGGTTACCCTCTTGATAAGGGAAGCGGTAGGGGCCAGGCTGCTAGTCGATGATTGAGTTACAAGTGGCAAGCAAACTCCGGATTGTTCACTGACAGTTAGCTGTGAATAGCCTTACCATTAACGTGTGCGTGGGCGCGGACAGGCGAGGCTTCGAATCGGCAACTAATATCGAATGTTCGGAAGTGTCGATTTATCATCCTGCCAGCCCAAAGACCCTCGATTTTTCATGGGGTTGCATCTGTATGCCGCGGCCACACAGGGAAAAAGTTGGGGATTGGACGCTGCTGGAAAACGCAACGAATCATACTCCATAGCAAGCAACGATAATGAATGCAGGCTTGTTTGGGAGACGAGGCGGGAAGTGGGTGCTTCAGGCTATATGCTTAAATAAGTACTAAATATTAACTTCTACGGAGTCAAACTGAAACTGGGCGATGCGGTGCTTGGTTGACTATTGAACCCTTGCTTTCACGGGCATCGACCTAGAAAATGGCTCCGAAGCAGTTAACCAAGTATTTATGTATCTGTGTCTAACCCAGGCCGTATCACTACAGCAACTTATACAATCCATTTCGCTCAGTTTATATTGGATTTACTCTCCCCATTCCCTCTCAACAATTGGACTCCGCCGGCTTTGGCTATGAGAAACAAATGTTCCAAGGAAGCCATGACAGCCCCATTCATTGACAAAAAAGCTGCGGTCGAGTTTCGGACAGACCTTGGGCAATGGAGGATGAGTTCTGTTAACGGACGGAAGATTCGGTACCACGCCGGCGATTCAAAAGCTCAGACATGAGCCACGAAATTTCATGAGAAGTACTGGCTCGGTCTACCGCGTAATTTGCCGGAAACGGGGGCAGCCACATCCGCCGGCACAGGTGCTTGAGAACGGTCTGCGGTCCTTGAAACAGCTCCAGGCAGAGGACGGCAGCTGGTGCGCCGATTGCGATGGGCCTCTGTTCGTGACAGCCGGCATTGTATTCTGCGCCGAGATCGTGGGCATCATCATCGGTTCTAACTCCAAGTTGGAGATGTGCCGTTACGTGGTGATTCATTGCTAAATCTCAGCAACCCTCGGGAGATTGGTTACCGGGGACTACGGAAGGCATCTGGACGCCGCCTTGCGGCTATCGATATCCGCTTTATAAGTTTCATTCCACCCTCAAGGCACTTGCGGAATATGTGAACTGCTATGGGGACAAGCCAGTTCGAGAGTAAAGGATTTCCTAGTTTAGGAGTTGAACAAAATAGCCCTCTTTAGGTCTAAAGTCTTGTTGTTTACTTTCCACCCTACAGCATACCAGCACCTAATAAATCTTAACCTTGGCATCTTCCACGCACTAGTCCATCCTAGCCATATTCTTAGGGGTCTAGGATGTACTGCCAAAAGCTGGCAGGATAGGAACGGCGACCTGGCTCTGGATGTACACGCGGATCCTATTGGTTCTATCGATTTGTAACACGTCTATCGGCCAGAGGGATTACCCATAAACCACACCACGAGACAAGTCTCGGCTAACCTTGGCCGGTCAAGTATCAGCTGGCCGAGCCGGTTGATGCCTTGTCCTGCGAGACTTCTTTACAGTCTATTAAAACATCATGCTTCACATGCTAAGGACTTGCTGTCTCTATAAAAACTTGCCGTTGGACCAAGGTGTGCTTCCTTGCGGCCACGACTTGGTTGAACATCGTTGGAATCCTCTCTGCCCCGGTGCCATATGGTGCGATATTACGTGCTGAGGTCGCAATGGTGTGAATCAATGATCTCCAACTAGCCGCCTCCCGCAACGGGCATCCCCCTGCGTCCCGTCACTTTAGATATATGCATATACCTTGCACGGTTAATCTCGCTTCCCTGTCCCGGCCGGGCTCGCCGTCAACCCCGCATCCTGCTTGGCTTTTCGCCATTGGATCGCGATAGAGCCGGCCTCTTGCACCGCTCCCGCACACCCTTCTCGGTCTCTCGGTCGAACAGGACGTCTGCGGGACCTGCATCCCGGCCCAATTGCCCCGTCGTAGAGGTGACCAAGTCATTTTGCCCTTGAAAGACTTGGCGCGCGTGCCCTCCCGTCGTTTGGTTATTGGTGCAATTTCACTGAAGGATGGGAGCTCCTCTCTGTAACTCGCCGCATTGTACGAATATTCCAGCTACATAACCAGAAACTTAGATTGAACCCCTCTCTAGCGATCCGTGGTACCGACTCAGGATGAAGAGGGGACCCCTTGGTCCTAATCTCACCCGCAGATTTAATGGCCAGCAGCGTAGCATCGATTCCGATTGCGTGCGAACCCCCCCAAAGAGATTGTTGCCCATGAATCCCCCGTGCCCATCATGAGTCGAAACCCTCGCGCCAAATGGTGCCATCCACGGGCGGTGCTGTGAAGCCAGGAACCGAAGCGCCAGAGCAGGTGGGTGACATGCAGTTCGCGGCTCATTGACCCGAGTCCCTTTTGTTCTCTTGTATTAGAAGGATGATGCGACCGCACTCCACGCGACGATTCTAACGCTGCAACGACCAGACTCGAATCAGGGCTCGTTCGTCATTTCGCTCGTTCCAAGACATGTCTCGAATCATTGTCAGTCTCGTGGCCCTCGCCGGCCTCCTGGGGTCCGGCGATGCCCAGGGCTTCGGCAACGGCACCGCCGGCAGCGACAGTGCCACCGTTCGGTGGCTCGGCCGCACCCCCTCGTACAGCGCCGGCACAACATTCGGCCTACCATGGGCCCGCGGCAAGCACTTTGCCAACTCGACCGAGTTCACGGTCTCCGGTGGCGGCCCACTTCAGTCCTGGGTGACGGCCTACTGGTCCGACGGCTCCATCAAGTGGACCGGCCACGCCATCCCCGAGGCCGACAACATTCTGGACGCGTACACCGTCAGCGCTTCGTCATCGGCCAACGCGACGGCACGCTTCTCCCGCGCGAGACGGCAGCAGCAGCAGCCCGCCGGTCTGACTGTGTCCGACTCCTCGGACGCCATCAGCGTCGACACCGGCAAGCTCGCCGTGACGTTCCCCAAGTCCGGCAACGTCGTCGTCGGCGAGATCAAGACCGCCTCCGGCAAGACCATCGGTCAGAACGGGAGGCTCGTCCTCCACTCTCAGTCCGGCGTCGAGGACCGCGCCGAGCTCAAGGGCCAGGCCGGCATTGCCCACTTCGACTTCGAGAGCAACGTCGAGGAGGTCACCGTCGGCAAGGACACCACCGCGCGCGCACTCGTCACCGTCCGCGGCAAACACACTCTCCAGGGCGGGGGCGGCCACGCCGACTGGCTCCCCTTCGTCCTGCGCTTCTACCTGTACCGCAACTCCGAGGCCGTCCGCATCGTGCACACCGTCATCTACGACGGCAAGGCCGACGAGGACTTCATCTCCGGCCTCGGCATCCGCTTCGAGGTTCCCCTCGAGGGCGAGGAGCACTACAACCGTCACGTCAGGATCTCGGGCATCGACGGCGGCCTCCTCAGCGAGGCCGTCCAGGGCATCACCGGCCTCCGCAGGGACCCCGGCGCCGCCGTCCGCACCGACCAGTTCGAGGGCGCCGAGCTGCCCGACCCCGCGACGTGGGACCAAAG